GTCCCCGCCGGGCCCGCCGGTGCCGGTTACGGCGCTGGGCTGCATCGCTCCCGCCGGGCCGACTGGTCATCTCCCCACCCTCCCCGTCACCTTTGAAGACCGGCTGACCGGGGCGGCCATTGGTGTCTGGAACGCTTCACGGTCCGGGCTGGCGGCCGCTTTCTTGGCGTGCGGTTCCTGGCTCGCCTAGTCCCTGCGTTTTTATGACCCGGCGTTCAGCCCCGCATCCAGGCAGCAAGTAGGTGGCAGACTCACACTTGAGCCCGAGCGGTCTGACCTCAAAGCGAGGCCCCTGCCCTCGTCGGGATTGGAGTCCCGCCGGGCTGGAGCGCCGCGGCACGCGCAGGCCTCGCCACGGCCTCAAACTCGGGCTCAAGCGGGCCCCCCCGCCTCGGTCGCCCGGAGTGCTGGGGCTGCAGCCCGAGCCCCTGCGCCCAGCAGGGTCCGGCCTCCTGACCACACTCCCGGGTTCGCAGGCAGAAGACCCGGAGGCCAGCTGCCTTCCAGCCACGGGCCAGCATCGGGGAAGGCGTGAAGAGGCGTGGCATGCAGAGACATGCTGGGCAGGTGACGCTGAGTGCAGAGACCAGGGAAGGAAGGAAGGTGGTGGGTGTGAATCGAGGAGGCTGGGCGCGAAAGACGGCCCCCAGAGGCCCGCCCTGGCTCGTCTCCTGCTGGTACAAGGAGGACCAGAGGCCAGGTCATCGACAAAGAACAGAAGTTTAGCTCTGGAGGCTGGAAGTCCCAGGTCGAGGGTCTGCCCCTGTTGGGGGCCTGCTCGTTGCCTGAAAACATGGCGGTCACCACAGCCTTGACTTGCTGGGCTCGGGTGAAAAGAAAAAATCCATAGGGGAGGAGAAAAGGTCTCTCTTCCTCTTCTTAAAAGCCAGCACCCTGATGACCTTACCTAATCCGATGACCTCCCAAAGGCCCTACCTCCAAAAGTCATCAACACTTGAATTTGGGGATTAAGTTTGCAACACACGAAATGTAGAGGACACATTCGCACCACCGCAATGTTCGTGAGCTCATCCCTGGAATCTGAATACTGGGCTGCTGAGGAAATGTATAAACACTTGACGTAATGCTCACCATAGTCAGAAGCGTCTGGACACTGATGCTAACCGCTTTGAGCATCTCAAGTAATTGCAGAAGTCAAACATGACTTGTAATCATCATATTGAATGTTACATGGGTTTTTTTTTAGTCTGCAAATACAGTTTATGGAGAAAGTAAATTAGAGAGGGGGAGATTCCCCTCCCTAAGGTAGAGGAGGGGTCCAAAGCTTAGGAAACATGACAGCCGTAGCTCAAAAAGCCACGTGGACACACCAGAGTTTAGCAAAGCAATAGCCTAGTACTACAATTTTAATACAGTGTTTTCCCTTCTTGAAATGTGTACATATTTTTTGGCACCCTCTATGTTACCTAACACAGCAAAAAAGTTTCTGCAGGTGCAATTAAATTAAGGATCTTGAGATGAGGAGGTTATCCTGGATTACTGAGGTGGGCCAGTGATACCACAGGGGTCCTTAGAGGAAGGAGACAGAAGGGTCAGAGAAGAAGCTGACTTTGAAAGCAGAAGTAAGAGTGCCCATGTGGCAAGGCATGCGGGTGGCCCCTGGAAAATGGAAAAAGGAACACGTTCTTCCCTAAGTCCCCAGACAGAACTCAGTCCTACTGACACCTTGATTTTGGCCTGGTCAGACCTGTTTTGGGCTTCTGACCTCTGGAACTCTAAGACACATTTGACCAGTAGGATGTCGTTGGCCACAGCCGTGTGACTATAGACGCCCCTTCCCACTTTAAGGATGTACTCTTTCATTCCTGGTGTGCTAAATTTTTATCATAAATAGATGTATTTCATCAAATGCTGCAAAAGTTTTTGTTTCTTACATTTTTAAAGAATTGCTTTAGAACTGTGAATATAAATTGTAAACATAAAAGATGAAAAGATTTTAGTAACTACAGTCTTAAGAAAAAGTCACTTGGAAATATTGAGAACTCTTTAGTTTCCAATATTTTCAAAAGTTATTTTCAAGAATATTTTCAAATTGTTGAAAATAAAATGTTCAGTAGGTAAATGGAATGCACAGTAAATACAAATGAAGAACAAATGAGTGAACTAGAAGGTGGTATTGAGTAGCAGCCCCAGAAAGCATCAGAAAGGGATAAAGAGACAGAAAACAAAAAAAAAAGATACGGAGGCTAGAAGTAGCAGTGACAACTGTCATTAAACCAGGTCCCAAAGGGAGAGAAAAGATGGAGGGGAGGAAATAACTTGTACAAATATAGCTGAATTTCCTAATTTTAAAGAAAGATAAAAGACTTCCGATTGAAAGGGCTGAACAGTATAGGTGAAACATACATAACCGTAGAAAGACTATAGTGCAAATTAAGGAGATCAGAGACAAAGGAAAGTTCCAGCAGCTTCCAGGGAGAAGTTGAGGTTCCCCTCCAAAGCAACAGGAATGAGCTGACGATGGCAATCTCAAAAGCAGCACTGGCTGGGCTCGGTGGCTCAGCCTGTAATCCCGTGCCTTGGGAGGCTGAGGTGAGTGGATGGCCTGAGCCCACGGGTTCGAGACCCGCCAGGGCAACTTGGTGAGACCGCATCTCTACCAT